TCATTTAAATCCCCTACCATCCTACTAGATCAGCAGTTCTCAAACTGCGAGTCTCAACCCCTTTGGGGGATCAACTATCAGATATCCTGCATATCGGATATTTACATTACGAGTCATCGCAGTTGCAAAAATTACAGTTATGAAGTAGCAATGTAATAATTTTATGCTTGGGGGTCACCACAACATGAGGAACTGTATTAAAGGGTCTCAGCATTAGGAAGGTTGAGGACCATTGTTCTAGACAGAGAAGTTGACTCTGCAACTCCCCTGCATGCTCAGGTGTCTGTCCACCTTATTCCCAGCTGGTGACACTGTGCTAGGAGACTGTGGGGCTCCTCTGGGATGTGACACCTAGCGGGAGGATGTAGGACACTAGGCTAGGCCTTTGAAGGGTGTGGTCATCTCTGTCCCCTACCTTATTCTTGCAGAGACAAACCAACCTTCTGAAGACCTGAACCAACAGCCACAGGGACCAGGAAAGTAGCTGACACAGACCAGTCCCTTCAGCGAGGAAGAGACTTTGTTGCTGCCTGCAGCTGAGGATGTTCAAACACAACAGTGAAACACTTGGTGGTGTCAATGCACAGAAACGCTATTCCTCTGGGTGACAAGATGCCAGCAATTATCCAGACTCTAAGGAACGAATCTGGACAGTTTCAAAGGAACGTATGTTTCTTTTTAGTCAGTATCTAATATGTTCAAATAGTTTACTACTTCCTGGAAATTCATCTTGTAATGAGGGTACTCTCAAACCGTGTACCCTGTGAACGTGGGATTCCATCCGGGATTGGATAATGGGGTACAGACAGTCATTCTGACAGGGGGTCCTAACACTCCCAGCCCTCTTGGAATGGGGTGCAAATCGCCATGCAGAAGATGAGGTGGCCTGTCACACAGTGGTCCTGTTAGCAACCCAGAGAGCAAAGCAAATTTGCTGAAAAAGTACGCAATGCCAACACACATGCATCATTAGTAAAACTTGCAGAAGATGGGCGAAGGATTAGCTTTGCCCAGTTTGGCGCATTTTTTGTTGTCATTGTTGTTGATTTGTTTGTTTGTTTTCTTTCAGAGAGGAGTTTTTAAGAGATTTCCCTATTGAGCCTGTGTTAAGACTCCAGAGAGGAAGTGCTGGATTCCTGGTCTCTTAGGCTAAACTTCTGTTTTCCTTTCCAAGCACAGAGCAGAAGGGCAGCCAGCTCAACCACCCGAGATCTGCCCACAGAACAATATGAGGAAGGCTACCATTATGCTGGCAGTGGCGCTTTCCTGGACTCCTGCTTGTAGTTGATGAATTCACTGCATTTTTCTCTCCCTTCCAGAAACTCCACTGGAATGACAAGAGAGGAGGTGCGGGGTGAAAAACAAAACAGAAAATAACAACAAACCTATGACAAAGACATGGACCAACAGACAGCAGGGAGGAAAAATCACAGAGAATTTTTAAAAGGCAGAAGATAAGCAGAGAGTCCTCAACTGAACAAAGACAAGAAAATGCCGTCCTAACACGCAAGGACTTGGACGACTGGGCTGTTACCAAGTCTCCATAGCTGGAATCTCAGAAGCAGAGACAAGGGCTGATTTATTGAGACCAGGTCCCAAGAGGCTCTGGATTAAAGAGCCAGGTACCAGCCTGGTCCAGGAGTAAACAGAACTTGTACTCCAATTCCCGGGATGACTCCTTCACCCTCTGCCTTGCTGCAGGCACACCAGCAGTCCAGACCATTCCTTTGGGAACACTGGAGCGCTCCACTCTGGAAAAAAGACCTGGAGAGGGGGACTCCACCATTGGCAATATTACAAAGGCTGCCTTGCTTGTCACCCTCCCATCAGCCAATAGGTATTATGCTCCATGTACCCAGACCTCACCCACTGGCCAGCAAAGCCTCAGGACGGAAGATGAACTAATATGGACAAGCTGATTCTCCCCCCCCCCCGCAGCCCCCCGTATGCAGTGCATGTGCCAAGTCTCAGCCTGTGCCCTGTGCAGCTGTTTTCATCGGACGCACTGCACCTGAGTTTCTGCGTGCCCTGTACCCATCCCTAGCTGAGAGAAACAAGCACCCACAAAGCAAGTAAGCACCTAAAAGGATGAATGCAAAGAAACCTCAGACTCAAGCCATGTGGAGACAGGTGGAGCTGACCTTAGGCATTCCCTCTGTCAGTCAATCCAAATGCTAAGCACTTCATGGAACATGGAAGAGAGTTGTTCAGAACAACTCAAATGACTAGAAAGACTTCATTCAAAACATGGGTTTTCAACTACATTTGCCAATGCTCACCCTCCCCTAAATGCACACTGTATCTCGAGGGTTAGCTGAAGGTACGGACGATGAGCGCCTACAGACAGCGACTGTAGATTTTCAAAGATGCGCTTCATGTGGCACGCAGCTGCCAAGCTTAGTGCTTCATCAAACTTCACGAAATTTCACGGCTAATGTACATATGCTTCATATAAGGTGCCATTAACAGCAAAAGTCCAAACAAACACATCAACAAACACAACAAGCCCTGCACAACACTAGAGAAACGCTCTGTACTCCTACTAGGGTAGGACCAGCTAAAGGTGCACAAAAGCCAACGTGAGACCAAATCGGCATGGGTCCCTCGGCCAGCTAATATCTACTGGTGACAGATGCCCTCAAGATAGGGTCAAAGTTCAGGACTTAAAAATAGAATAAATTACACAGCCTAGGGAAGCTTGCTTTAGCTGCACCAAAGTAAGTTGATTCTAGCAATTCCCTGCCTGGCATTACTAAGTGATCGCTACATTTGAAGAATGACTATGTGTGGTTCTGGGAGAGCAGAGCACAGGCCCGCAACACTGTAGAATTTAGGGGATGAGTCACGTGCTTCCTGTAGACACTGGTGAAACTTGCCAGCCCTCAAAGGTGCTGCTCAGCAGAATGCTACCTAGAAGCAAAACCCCCACAAACACACCATACACTTCCTTTCTGGGGAAAGGTGAAACTCCACAGTAAGTTAGAAAGTAACATCTTTTCAAGAGAAACCAAAGTTCTGGAAAGAGAGTTAAATGAAAAGCAAGTATTTGTAAGTTTCCACGTTTGTCAGCTTGGCAATAACTACAAACAAACAACTGTGTTTGGGCCACCTATGAACACTCATATCCACATCCAAAAACTCTAGAATGTTCTATCTAGTCCATGAGAAATGTTGGCAGAGCGCTCTGATTACTGATTAACTGGTCTAGAACACAGGGACTGGATGTTTAAAGACACACAAACCTCCTGGTCAGTTCTGAAGTCTTCAGGGAAATAAAACTGCAGCACTTGAAAGACAACAAAATAAAACCTCAGTACAGCTGGCGTGGGTGATAAGAGAGAACGTGATAATTTGCCAAATGCAGGCAGTGGTAGCGTTCTGTCATTATCTGGGTTTATGTATGTTTGTGAGGTGTAATTTTCAACAACAAAGCAATTACAGCTAAGAAGCAAACTGCACAGAACTCAGAGCTAAGCTTCAAGAAAGTCATGGTCAGGTCACAATTTTGAAAAATAATTAAACAATTATAGTACTTGAACTAAGAAAGAAAGAGTCTTTAACCAACCTACAGGTTCTTTGTGGTGTTCAAATTATTTAAATATTTAATTGAACTTCTAAAATTTGCAAATAGGCTACAGAGTGTATATTGACATTTACATAAAAATACAACTCAGCCTACATGTTAGTATGCTCAGTTCACACACTGAGCTACACGGATTAAAAACTCCTGCAGTCCACTGTTCTGAGAATTACACATCTTTACTCATCTACTCCTGGGCAGAAAGCAGAAAATCTGCTGGGCTCCGGGGAATAAAGAGTTCCCAGATGTTTCTAATACAGTCTTTTTCTAGGCGTGGAGTTGGCACACTGGAGAAAGAGAGCCCATCTTTCCATACTGGCTTGTGGTCAGGGCAACATCACCCTTTAAACAGTGTCAAAACCTTTCCCATTAATGTTTGTTCCCTGTTAATGATGTATGATGCGCTCACCAAGGAGTAATGGCTGAGAAACTGCACGGAAGGAAAATGGTGCTTCTGACACAGTGAGCAGAAAAGGCAAAGTCAGGATCCTCCTGATTAGCCCTGCACCCAACTCCACAGGCTGATAAGGCTGCCTACGTCCTTTGCACCAAGACCTTCCAGTTCTGAAGTTGGGGCCGCATAGGCCACCGTGTCACCACTGAGGCCCAGCATGGCATTTTAAAATGAAGCAAGAGTCTAGTACACTCTCCTATGGGCCTGTGTGAGCAGTCATTCAAGGAGTTTTAAAAACCTAAGGGAGTGCTACAAATTTATTTCAAGGGGTTATGCTCAGTGGTAGTATACACTTAGCACTGGCATGTATGATGTCCTGGGGGTTCATCCTTGGCAGTACACACACACACACACACACACACACACACACAGAGAGAGAGAGAGAGAGAGAGAGAGAGAGAGAGAGAGAGAGAGAGAATTAATTTTAAAAAGATACCCAATGGTTATATGTGTGAGTTTTTAGTACATAAATCATGTTATGTTCTATGATGGTTTCTTCTCCCTCAATTTTTAGAACATATTCTACTGAAAACCATTAACTAAGCTATGAACCTTCCTATCTGATATGCTGAACTCATCACGTTTTTCTGGCTAGTCACATTCTTTGGCCTAAAATTATTTCAGCCATGTGTAAATGCACTGAGGAAAAAGCAAGCAAGCAAACTGAGAAGCAACTCAAATTTTTAATCTAAAAAAGAAGTAACTGTTTAGCAAACAACATTCCCAAGCTTCTATACTCGAGCGAGACAATGCTGTGTCTAAGGCAGGCATGCAGAGGACGAGTTTGGCATAGTTCTCCTTTGTGAAGGAAAGCATTTCTGAACAGAGGATATTCTACTCTGAAGAGTTATTCTAAAAATCTCGCAGCTTAGGTTTTACCACGCCCACACAAGTCACAGTGAACTACAGAAAATCCCTTATTTGGAGAAAAATTTAATTAATTTATTTGCAGCAGGGTCTCATATCCCCCATAGGCAGCCAAAGATGACCTTAAACCTCTGCTTCTCCTGCTTCTACCTGATTAAGAGCTGTGATTAGAGGCTTGCACCACTGTGCTTGTTAGGGTTTTTTGTTTGTTTTGTTTTGTTTTTGTCAACTTGACACAAGTTAAGAGTCATCTGTGAGAGAACACCTCACTTGCGAATATGCCTCCATCAGATTGGCCTCTAGGTGAGTCTGGGGATGTTTTTGATTAATGATTGATGCAGGAGGGCCCAACCAACGTCTGAATGAGTGGGGCTGTATACGAAAGGTAGGTGGTCAAGACAGTAAGAAGCTTCAAGAAAGTCATTCCTCCATGACCTCTGCTTTAGTTCCTGCCTTCAGGTTCCCGCTTGAGTCCCTGCTTTGAGTTCACCTCCTAATGGTGGACTGTGATATGGAAGTGTAAGCTAAATAATCCTTTCCGTCCCCTCCCCACGATGCCTTTGGCCATGCTGTTTTATCACAGCAGCAGAAAGCAAGCTGGGACCCATCACCATGCACGGTTTTACACGGTGCTTCATCATGCTTTGCAAGACTCCAGCAGCTGAGCTACATCCCAAGCCCTTATTTTATATCTTGATGCAAAGAGTAGATATGTGGTTGAGAACAGGATTTGTTTGTGTGGGTGTGGGTATGTGGTATGGGGATCAAACCCAAGATTCTGCAAGTTCAGCAAATACTCTGCCACTGAGCTACACCCCAGCCTAAAATTGGATACTTTTAAACTTTTTCTCAGATGCTTGCATATATTGTGATGGAGTGCTTTACAAATAACAACACGCAACAAACTTTAAAAAAAAAACAGAAAAAACAAGTGTTGCAGTTTAATGATTCATTAATTTTTAAAAGCATGCCACAGCAATTAACATATCTTCTAGTCACAAATACTCCCATTTGCAAACTGTCAAAAGAACAAAAAATGCTACTGTTTGTATTAATTACTTTAGGAAAAGGAGTACTTGCCTGCACATGAGTGTGGCATAAACATTTCTGTCCCTCTTCTCAACACATCATATTCCATATTCTATCACCACAAAAACAGAGGGGCCAATTCACCAGAATTAATGACAGAGAATCCTAATTCCTAGCTCATCAGCTGACAGTATTGCCTCTTTCTCCACCTGCAGTGAACATGAATTTAGGGTACAATCTACCCAGATTTAATTCAGTCTGTTCTCTGGATTTTAAACTTGGAAACCTCTAAAAGTTTGAACAAGAAACTGTACTCTTAGCTATTACAAAACATCCAAAACTTTCTCTTGTCAGGACAGATCAACTACCTTTATGGACTTTTTCCTGGGGCATTCAGGGCCAATTTCTTTTGTCAAGATAATGTGCAAACTGCAGGCATTTCAGGTAACCTTCCTCTGCCCCTGGCTTTTTCAACAAGCTCTTAGAACAAGCTACCCTTGTCCCGAAAGGTTTATGGAGAAGCCATGCACGGTTTGAACAGTCTGTTTTCCCTAACGACTGGTCATGAGTACCTGTCTCTTTTGCATCAACTCCAGGGAACCTAAAGACAGCACTGTCTCCTGCTCATCAAGGATGAAAATCTAAGAAATGACTTGAAATTCCTTGCACACGTTAAGCCAAAATCTAGTATGAAAAGGAAGCCGCTTCCTGTGGCAGTGTGCAAATTTGCTATGATGCCCAATAAGTTAAGCTTTGCTTTGCTCCCAGCAAACCACACAAGGGTTCTGCCTGTGTGGGCTGAAGACCCCACGGTGTGCAATAACAGCAACTGTCTGAGAACTCTAATGACTCCTTATACAAAGACAGTCTGAGGAGCAGAGCAGAACCAACACGTGTAGCTGCAGAGGAAACAAACATTCCATGATGAGAGCAAAGCTGGCCTGCAGATAGCTTTCTTCTCTCCCAGATTTACAAGTGTATTAAGGGTGAAGACTACATATATTTGTCTTTCTACATTCCTGTCCACCTCTGGGGACACAGTGCAAGAAAGTTGAGGGACAGTTTTTAACTAATTTCTTTACTTAGAAACTGAAAATGTAACTTGATCATTTTATCTAGAAAAGTGAATTTTAATTATTCTTATAGATATTTCAGAAAGACATGGGATCAGTCACCATTTACCAGGCAAAAAGTTTGATCTAATTAAATAAAAGCATATTTACTCCAAACAAATAAAACTTATAAATGAAGTAAAAATATTCACCAAGCACTCATTCCATTGGACAAGGAATTCTTAAGAAAGATGTTTCTTTCTGTGTGTCTGAATTATGTTTTAAATTAAAGAAGAATGTTCACATCCAGTGTTAAATAAGTTTTATAATTTTATATACATTTGTGAGCCTTTATCACATTCCCAGGCCCAGGAAATAACAAGAAAGTAGCACCCTAAATACTTTAAAGTGTATAGAAGGAAATAGTAGCTTTCCTTATTAACTCAAACAACAAACAACAAAAAAAGAACTTTCCTTGTGACTCCCATACAGTCTTTTAACAGCCAATCAAACAATGCCAACGGATGCACCCCCCCTTTAATATATAAGCATCTTTGAGCCTATTATCTCAAGGTCAGGGGATGGAGCACAATAGTAGACCTCTTGCCTGGGGAAGAGAAAGAACATAGCTTCACTCCCAAGCATTAAACATCCATTTTAATAATAATAATAGAAGAAACACACTTGTCACCTCTAAACACAGAGAACTAAAACTTTGAAAATGAAAGTGGCAACAGCTGCCAACAGTCCGTTTAACTTAGTATCTTACGTATTCATGACTAGTGCGGGTTTTCTTTCCCTTTTTGGTTTTTCAGAGACAGGGTTTCTCTGTGTAGCCTGGCTGTTCTGGAACTCTGTAGACTAAGCTGGCCTTGAACTCAGCGATCTGCCTGCCTCTGCCTCCAGAATGCTGAGATTAAAGGTGTGTGCCACTACTGCCCAGCTACCCATGACTAGTTTTCACGGCATTTTTCATAAATTTGGGTAAAGAGCAGGTTAGACCCGTGAGGTTCTCTGCCAATTGCAGGGAGCTCAAGTGGGCAATGACTTTATGAAAAACAGTCTACCAGGCGAGCTCATTAGAAACAAGCTAACCTTTTCCAAACACTCCATAATTCTATAAATTTTAGAACCCGAGAGTGAATTTTTAAGTTTTTACTCCTAAGTATATGTGAGTGTATATGCACGTGCACACCTGTCATGCACACGTGGAGGTCAGAGGACAGCCTCAGATGCCAATCCTCACCTTCTGCCCTTCATCTCTTTGTGGTCGGCAGTGTGTGTGCACAGGCTCGCTGGCCCTCAAGTTTGGGGCTCTCTCTCTCTGCTTCCCATCTTGCTGCACTGGGGTCACAGCTGGGCATGAGTGCACCCAGCTCTGCATGGGCACGGGGGGTTTAAAGTCAGGTCCTCAGGCTTGCACAGCGAACCCCTGACACGCTGAGACATGTTCCCCGCTGAGAGGGACTTTTAAACCGTCCATAAATAACATCCGAAGATAAATTGAAGATTCAAATAACGTAACCTATAACTTAAATTTCCAGTGGGTTACCACTTCTGCCAGAAGATAAACCCTCCAGCACAGCTTTGGCAAATACCACCATCCCAGTCTGTGGGCTGGTTAACTCAGTCACTCTAATTTTCTTCTGTCCATCTGAATCAGCAGGCGGAGGATACACTGAAGCAAACCAAGCCACAGCATGCAGCTACTTAAAATAATACAGATAACGGGGAAAAGAAAGCTACCTGGATGGCTTTCCCCCTTAGCCGACTGGACCACCTTCACAATGCTCTCTGTGTTGCCAGCGGGCCCTATGTCACTGCCAATGCATGCCCACAGGAGCGAGGCTCCAGCAGCCCCCTTGTGTGATGTGAAACTGTCAGAGACTGTGGGCCATTTCCTCTTCCCAACTTCTAATTCCGATGATGACTTATTCTGCCCCAGTGATCATAGTGATCATTATGTGGTTGAGCCTGCTTCCTCTAACCCCGAGGGCACAGAACACTGTGAGTCCTGACCGTGCTTATTATATACTTCAAGGTTATAAACATCATGTTAAGTGCACTTTTCCGTAGTAATCTGGACCATATCAAAGCAGCTGCTTAGTAAGAATCACTAAACAACTGTTACAATATGACTGACAGAACGACTCTCCTAAGTGATGGAGATTTGGCCATGAAACCGCTTTCCCCTGGGGGAGAGCGTCCACTGACTCAGCAGCGTCAGGAGCTGTTGTGCTTGCTCCCTTTAGATCAATGGCACTACCGTTCAGTTTTCAGACATTAGCAGATAAAAGATTATCAATAAAACACTAGAACAAGCCACAGAGAATAAAGAAAAAGCCCCCCGCCCCAAAAAAAAACCGACAACAAAAACCTTATGTTCTAAGTGTTGGTTTCCGGAACTGCAATGCCCCTAAGCCTCAGCAAGGACATGCAGATTGAAGGGGTGGCTCAGCGTCCATCTAAGTCAGCAGTCAGGGTAGGACACATCAGTTCTCCTCTTTAAATAGAGCGGACACTAGGCTGGAGCTCTGTGGGAGAGTGTTTGTCCAGCATGGGCAAGGTCCTGGGTTCGAGCCACAGCACCATACACACAAAGGAACAAAAACAAACGGTTAATGATGTGGAAATGGAGGCTGTGGGAGGTGGGCAGGAACTAAAATGACAAGTTTTCCACAATGCTGCCACCATGGTAATGAACAGTAATCCTTGTTCTTAATTTTTAGAAACAGCTTCCTATAAATAATAACGGTAATAGGTTATAGCTATTTTAGGCTTAGTATTTGTCTGCTGTCTCCAGCCCTGAGTTGTATGTTGAATCCTTAATGGACTAACATTTGGAGATGGAGTACCAACATTTAGGAGGCAATTAAGGTTAAATGATGTCATAGAGCTGGGGGGCTGGATCTGACAGGGTTAGTGTCTAATCAGGAGTATTTAGAAAGCTTCCTCACTCCCTCTGCACCCCCCATGCCTCACGTTAAGTACGTGGTCTGGTGAAGGGCTATATAACAGAACCAGAAGGTCGCCTGCGCGGGTTATCTCACCAGAAACCAGCCCGACCAGGAATGTTGGGCTTCCCAACTCCCTGAGCTGTAAGGAATCGGTATCTGTTGTCTAAGGCATCCAGACTACGGTCTCTAGTTACGGCAGCCCGTGCTGGCTGGCATGGTAACCTGCAAAGAAAGAATCCTTGATTTTATGCTTATTTTTACAACTTTGGATAAGTAGATAAAGGGGAAGAAAGAACACATCTGCCGTACCGTGGAATTCCAACGCTAACCGTGGTTGGAACGACAGAAACACAGAAATGCAGCAATGTGCAAATCTTAACTACTTCAGGCTAAGAAGGAGCATCCGGTGTTAGAATGTCTGATGAGAACCAGGATAATGACAGGAGACTCTAGGACTCTCTCAAGATGCTCAAGAGCAAAGGGGACAATAATTTCACCATGGAGACAGCTGATGCCACCCTAACCAAGTACTGCTGGCTACGTAAGGAGCGACCTCTGTGTAAGAGGCTGGGGACTCTTGGCCTTCGCTATGTCACATTTTAATGATGGAAATTCTTTGAAAATGTAAAGTGAAAATGAAGATCCTGACAGTATTTTAGTTTAATGTACATCATTTGATTCTCTCCCTAGTCTACAGCATGCCTATCAGTTCACAGCTTAGTTGGTCTGAGAGGCTTCTGTGCCATCTCAGGGGACTATTTCAGGCCCCACTGGGTAAACCACATCTCTCCAAGTCCATAAGCACGAGCAGTAGAATTCACGCATAGGAACCGCATTTCTGAAATCTAGCTCAACGTTGAATGAATAGTAAACCCCTACGAACTGTTTTTAAATAGAAATTATGGGGGGAGGCGATAGCCAAGTATGGTGGCACATGCCTATAATCCCATCATAGGAGTCTGAAGCAGGGGGATTGCAAATCTGGGGCCAGCCTGGCCTACATTGGAAGTATGAGACCTGTGGGTGATTGGTTTGAACAGAAAGCAGACAAACATCTCGAGGATGAAAGTGGAGGCATTTTCCGTTGGGCAGACAGCTCCGTCTCACGCTGTCATGTGTCCTTTGCTTTTCTGTCCCTGCAGACTTTTCATCAGCAGCATCCATCCTTTCTGAAAACCGAATACAGTGTCGCCAAGGCCAGCGTTTATTCAGGGCTCACTACACACCAGGTATCTGCTCTTGCTCTACCGTCTCTCCTACCAGGTCATTTTAACAAGCCTGTGACACAGGTTCAGCTCCCACACACTGCACCCCTGGGGGAGGAGGGGGAGAGCCAGGATTGACGGGCATCACAGCCTCTGTACTGCAGCTCATCACTGTACCCCCAAAACAGGGCTCTGTGCTGCAACCCATTGCTGTACCTCTAGAACATGTTCTTCATTTAACCTTAATTGCCCCTTAAATGTTGGCACTCCATCTGTACATGTCGGTACATTAAGGGTCAGGGATTGAGCACACAGCTCAGGGCTGGAGACACAGTATCTCTTAGCCATGGTGCTGGGAGGCCTCTTGTTCATATGCACAAAAATAAATGAAAAGGACACACATTTTACAAAGAAGGAAAACCTGCTGGGTGGGCTATTAAAGTGGCCAGGAGAAAGCTGCTTACAGGGAGATGGCAACTAGAGAAGACATACACAAAGCTTCCAGAAGACTCTCAAGGTTTGTAGGTCTACAAGATCCTCTGCTCTTCCTACCTTACCTCCTCATGTTAAGAACCAAGGCTTTCCCCCAGTTGCAGGTAAAGAGAGGGGGTTACAGTGGCTATGGTTGAGAATAGGGTACAACCTTTAGCAGGGAGAAGGGACCAGCAGAAAGAAAAGACGGAGGAACTGGGGAGCAAACCCTAGCAGGGAGCGGATCATATACATGGTGGGGGCAGAGGAACATGGGAGCAAACCCTAGCAGGGAGCGGATCAGATACATGGTGGGGACTATGTCACTGATTTCCAGGCCCAGGACCCTGCACACACTAGGATGCATTACCACTGAACTCCAATCCCCAGCTCCAGCTCTGCTGGCACAGACTCGGACTCTGCAGCCAGGCAGGCCTTGAATGCAAGCTCCTCTTGCTTCTGTCTCCTGAGAACTAAGATGCTAGCTAAACTTTGGATGGCCACTCTCTTTTCTGAGAGAGGGTCTCAGATTATAGCCCAGGCTGAGCTGTAACTCAATATGTAGCCCAGGCTGGCTTTGAATTTGTCCCAATCCTCCTGTCTCAGTTCCTTAAGTGCTGGGATTACAGGCAGAAGCCACCATGCCTACTTCGAATTGTCATTCTTCAATGCTATACTCAGAAGCTGTTCACAGCATGCCCTGAAAAGAGTTCCTAAAGTAAGCACCACACGATGAGACAGATTGTGACTACGACAATGTAGCACTGTTTCCTCAAATCTCTGCCCCAGTATGGCAGCAAGTTGGCAAGTGAGGGACCAAGGGGTCTGCCCACACAAGTCAGTCAAAGTCTTCACGAGGCATCTCAGGTGGGGTCTCCAGAGCATGGGGCATCCAGCGTCAGTGCCCTAGGCTACTGGGTGCACACACTGCTCCTACAACAGAGTCTGCACAGGAGTGGGCCTGCCACTGCTGTCAGCTCTGCATGCACAGGAGCGGGCCTGCC